CCTCTGGTTCGAACTGAACATGGCATTTCTTACGGAGGCTTACCTTGGGAATGAAGGCTATTTCGACACCGCTGGTTCTTCCGCCATCAATGTTGCCAGAGACAATTTGTTTAGAGAAACTACTGCAGCTCTGATAAATCCTTGACTGGAAGAGTTTGTCATTTTGGTATAGGACAAAGCCAACTCTTCCGTTGTCTGATGAACCTTCACACGGCAAACAGAAAAGTAGATATGGATAGCAGATATCAGAGAAGCTGGTGCCTTTGAAGAAGCCTACGCTGTGCTGTTTCACACATCCAGTATTCACAGCAGATTTTTTGTTTAGATATTTCTTTAGAATCCGTTTAAGAAGTAGAAGAGAGCTTCTCTTCCCACGAATCTCAAGAGAGTCATCTTCAGTTTTTGCTGAGGTGGAATGTGAAAATAATTATTACCCTTCTCCTAATGTCATTTCTGGGGAAAAATACTGCTAATGAGGAAAACAATATTCTAAATCCCATTATATAAACACATTCCAAATGGCCAGGCTTTTAATAACACTAAATAAGAAATGGCAACGCCAGGGACATTTACAGTTAGTAGGAAGTCAGAGGATAAAAGAGATTGGCTGGACCTTCGTCTTCAGATTCAACTTTTGGACTCTGTTTCTTTTGCACTCTTCTACCAAATTAGAGACATTTCAGCCAAGTGAGTAAATCCCTAGTCTTAATTGTTGCTTAAGTGAGGAAGCAAAAATCCTGGTTTCTATATTGGATTTTGTTCTTGATTTTATACTTTTTATTTAAGATCAAGAGAGACTGATTTGATCTCTCTCTGATCTGATCATCAAGAGAGACTAATGTAACTTTATATCTACAAAATGTCACAATTATGAATTTAATATGGAAGAAATCAATTTTTTTTAAGACAAGCTGCACATCCAATCTAGTTCTCTTGAGGGAAGTTTTATGATATACAGGCATTATGATAAAAACTTTAATTACATGATCACACTGTTTTTCCGCAGGATTGTTGTCTGAAAGTGAACAGGAAGGACAGTGACCAGTTAATTAGCTATTCAGAGGGGTTTTTTATTGTCACTGCTGGGTGTGTGGGGCCACCTGATTTATCTTTTCAAGTCTTTTCTAACCCTAGTGAGAGGACTGAATTATTAATTTCCCTGTGGGTTTGTGTACGAACAATGTTCAGCATTATAATGTCTAAGTGCTCCACAAACTTCACCCTCATTATAATCTTGTGCTGTGATGTCTTAGTGTTACTGTCGCTATACTGAGAGACTGAGGACAAGTCCGCTGGTTTCAGGTGCCCAGTCTGAAATTCTTGTAAATTTTAGTGTTTCATAGGAACAGGTTGCCCAGAGAAGTTGTAGATGTCCCATCCCTGGAAGTGTTCAAGGCCAGGTTGGATGAGGCTTTGGGCAACCTGGTGTAGTGGAGGGTTTCCCTGCCCATGGCAGGAAGTTGGAACTAGATGATCTTTGAGGTCCCTTCCAACCCTAACCATTCTATGAGTCTATGATAGAAATGCACGTGTTCAAAACTCAGCTCTCTCACACCCACCAGCTTCTGCAGCAAATGAAACAGAGGAACTATACGCTTTTAGTTGGTTTTTTTTTCTCCTAGGTGACACCAATTTATCCTCCGAGCGCTACAGTAGTAATGTAATGGACATCTGGAAAAATTCTGTGTGACCGTGCCATTAACGATTATCTCAATTTGTAGGTGTGAGGATGTGTATGTCCTGGCTGATACCTGACAGTAGTGGTAACTTTAGTTGAAACGGTTGACGTCTTTGAATTTCAGGCAAGGTATGTATATATTAGCTCTTGATCTTGATGTCTGTAGCAGTAAGGTCAAAGATTAATTACATTCTCAATTAAAAAAAAAACAAAACAACAAGTCCCAAACACCTCCTGGACTTGTGCAAGGCGTTTGACGCTGTCCCACATGACATCCTTGTCTCTAAAATGGAGAGACATGGATTTGACAGATGGACCACTTGGTGGATAAAGAACTGGCTGGATGATTGCGCTCAAAGAGTTGTGGTCAATGGCTCAAT